CATAAATGTAATCAAAAAACATCATGTTAAGTAGTCATTGGGAGGTCCTGTTTTCCACCATTTTGCCAGTATAGCAGTTCTTCTCACAGGCTGGACTGAGCCAAGATCTTTCCCAGCCTCTACCCAACAATCTGGTGATCTACAGATACAAATTAAAAAAAAAAAACATTACTATAAATTGACTTCATTCTAAAAATCAAGAAACAAAAAATGAAATAGATACTAAGTATTTTTAAACAATGAAAAAATATTGTTTATTTTAATAGGGTTTGCATATGAATAGACACTTCAGCACTTTACATTCAGATATGAAAATATTAACATTGCAGTACAGTGACTTTAGATCAATCATTGGTGAAATTATTCTTTTAATTGTCATCCGATTTAATATTCAAAATGTAATTATTTTTAATCAGTTGACGAGTCAACTTACCGAAAGTTCAATTTCTCTGTTCGCTACTAACACCTGTTGACCACACATGTCAATAATTGAAAGACGTAAATTGTTCCATTTAACACATTGACACTTTCATCTTCACATGTTCCCGAAGTGTCACATAATTGATGACATAATTGATTATACGGTACCCGATTATACAGTTTGATAAACAAACTAACAGTGCGTGACCTTTCACATTTGGGCCGCTTATGTAATTGACGCGGCCGCTTATGACATTTAAGTGTACTAGTTGTCGGATGCTTTTTATCTTACGTTGGCGCCAGTTAAATTCGCCAATTTAAGATTTTATGCGCCAGAATTAATATATTGTCGCATTTGGCGCCATTGGCGAGCGACAGCGGGAACCCTGCAAGTGCAACGCTATAAGCTCCCACTCTGTGGGGGCATAAAAAAAGTAATGATATAAATGATGAAGAAAATTTAAATATCCTATGAAAATGGCAATACATGTATTGACAATATCAGCAATATCTTGTATTTAAAAAGATGAATAAATTTACTCCACGTGTTGAGCGAATTGTAAAGCCCGCAATACATTACCCGTAAAACAACTGTGCGTCAATTGACTACATAACCAAATAAATCTTAAATATTGCATCTTTGATCAACTGTAAATAACTTCCATCGGCTTCTTTTATATTTTGAAATTGAATTTATTATGTTACCGTAATAATAAATTTCAAATATCTGCTTTTTATATAAAAAATGTAAATTTACCGCGGATTTCGTCAAGTTAATTTCTTAATCGTCGTTGCGGACAGATAGTCTGTATCTTTAAAAAATAAATTAGATATTTGAATTAAACAAGCATTTTTTTTGAAAATAAACTTTAAATTTCAAAAATCGGATAATAAATGGAAAAGCTACATGGTATTTTGTAAAGTAAGTATCCGTTGCGAACGGGCATTTTCGCTTAGCGCCGATAAATTATCGATCGATGTACCTTTATCGGGTGCTGGGAGTGTCCGATCCCTGTAATTTAAATCCGTGATAGAGCCTAGGGGCCTACTAGTGATTTACTAAAATATTTTTTTTTTTATTTCAGCACATCATATGACTGCAGCATTAAAATCAAAACAAGCTACACAAAACCTCTGATAAAGATGATATAGAAGGAAAAAAAACTGCCACATTTGTAATTTTGCTATTTATTGTCATGAGTTACTTAATAAACTGTTATGTACTCCACATAATGTTAATCAATCTTAGAAATTAGTATGAAATGGAACATCAACACTTCAAAAAATGCAGTTCGTATGCACTTTTCCTTGTCCCTAAAAACTTCTCCCTATTTTCACTGGAGGGAGAAGTCACTTGGAGGGAGAAGTCACTTCTCCCTAAATTTTAGGTCTAGCGTGATCCCTGTAAATTAATGAGCTTTTTCTTCCATCTTATAATTGGACCTTTTCCTGAACTGTTTGTCAAAAATTATTTCAAAAGAACCAATAAAAATGACATTTTTTAGAATATTTTCAATGTCTGCCATTTTGGGTAATTTCAGAGGAGGTTACTACGGTATCAAGGTAATCCCCAAAAAAGCAAGTATGATAGGATAGATGGGTCAAAACTTTCAAGTTAAGTTGTGAAAAACTTCCAACACTTAACTTGCTATAAAATTAAAACTATATGAACAGACTATATGTCAGTATATGTGTTTATAACATATTTTAATTGACTGTGTAAAAACCATCAAGGAAAATGGTAGTCAAATATATCGTCGAGTGACCCATTTTTACGCTGCCCTATTTCGACGCCATTTATATTTTGCATCATAATTGATATAAGCGGCCGCTTACGTCATTACTGTACTACCCTATAGCAAAAGGGGATTCCTCTAGTTGGTTAGGTAACAATATGTAGTAAATAAGACACCCAAAGATAAGATTTAGCATGTTATACTTTATTTAAGAGATTTTTGTATGATTTCACTAATGCCATTTTGACACTCACTTTACTATGTCATGTTTTCCTTGAAAAAATCTGCTGGAAAATACCCCCCTGTCTGCTGACCTCATTTCCTTATCCTCAGGTCACGTGGTAGTAAAATTACCCAATAGTGTTATTTTTGGCGCATTTTTTCACCCCAAAGCAACCTGTACGTGTTGTAGATTTTTTTACGGTTATTAATTGATAAATGAATGTTAATTGAAAATTAATTGGATATGTTTATCTTATTTGGATGGAATGAATTGCCATATTTTCATTAGTTGCTCCACTAAATGTATTATTTTGTTTTTGCAGGTTCGACAAAGAAAGTAAAGGTGCTATTTTCCAACCTATATTTTTTTCAGCAGAGGAGGTCAAACAGAAGAGGGAAACCGTCCAAACCACTGTAAAAATAAAACAAGAAACATGGCAATGCCATGAAACCAGGTTTTCAATTATCACCATTGTAGATAAATATGTTGTATTTGAAATACAAATACAAGCAACAAACAATGTAACTACATGTGTATGTGCAATGTAAAACATGAATAATGTAGGAGGAATTGCCACTGAAGAAGTGTTCACTATAATATTATGTATAAGGAAAAAAACAAAGGGCCATAATTAGGTCAAAAACTATCCAATCACAAAACCCCGACAATATGTGCCAGGGTGCTTTGATGACAAAGCTTCTGTGAAAAGTTTGAAACAAAATCCGTTGAGAAATGTTAGGACGAGTTCAGCACAGAAGAATTTGTTCACTATAATTATATTTGATAATTCTGTATAATGAAAACAAAGTTACAAAGTAGACATGAAATAATATATCATATCTTTTTTAAATTACCTCCAAAGATGATATGACCTTTGACTGCCAAATCAAGTTAAAATCATGTAAACAGGATTTTCAATGTTAATGTCACTGTGACCTTGACCTTGGAGCCAGCCATGCGGAACATGCGTTCTGCACGTCATCTTGATGTGGTAAACATTTGTCTGAAGTTTCATCAAAATTCTTCAAAGGGTTGAAGAGTTACAGAGCGGACACAATTTCGTTTGACGCCCGCCCGCCCATCCGCCCGCCATACCCCAATCTAATAACCAGGATTTTCAAAATTGAAAACCTGGTTAACAATAGCATTTATCACATATAATTATGCTTTATTTATGAAAGAAATAAAGAAAAGATAAACTAGTTTTCACTTGTTGATGCTTTGCAGGTCTATGCTCTTGATATTGGTGAACAACGTAAGTAAAAGAATTATGGTGCAAAGTCTCCTATCGTGTGTAAATGTAACCAGTTCGTGTTTTTGATCTTTTCGTTTATTTTAAACTTTTCACATTTTAGTTTTACAGAGTTGTCTATAATCTCCCTTTCATTGTAAATTTGAGTGATTAGTCAAGCATTTGAATTCCCGCTGTTTTTAACCAATTATTGTGGTCATGTGATATAGTGTTCACTTTTGCACAAGTCTTGGTACTGAGAAGTCAAATGTGAACTAGCTTTGTTGAACTTTATTATAACTATTTTGCTGTCTCTTGGAAATTTAAGGTTGAGGTTGGTTGGTCTTATTTTGTACTATTGATTCACCTTTTTTGAGTCAAAGATGAGCAATGCTTTTTTGAATTATTTCAGTATTTGGGCAAACATGTATATTGGACAAGTTCATTGTAATCAAGATGGACGCTTATATTTGTAATAATTTGGTAATTGGTACAATCACTATGTACTATCTTATATTATCACCTGTCATTTAACCATTTACAGTTAATAGAGCACAGTAAGAGTCAGTGAGAGAAACAGAGGTGTATTCACGAATTCGAAAACCTAGCTAAACGCCGTTTTCCGGTACTTTCTGTACATAGCTCTGGGGAATTCACCTAATGGAGTGTAATAGCGAACTCAATATTTTCGGCCTTTTATTAAATTAAATTAAATTGAAATAAAACAGTTATTTCTTTATAAGAAAATAATTGAATATCATTGTATGAATAATTCCATACAAAAAAATAAAGTAAATACACAAGTTTACGCAGAAAATAACCTTATTTATTATGGAAGATTCCACTATGTCTGTTTAAATTTCATTGATTTTCATCATAAACAATTTATTTTTTACAAAAATTTGCAATAGATATTAAAGGAATATCGATAATTTTCAAAAACATCAATTTCTTTCACCTTAAACGGTAAAATAATGATAGAAAAATAGAAATATCATGTAACTGTGTTATGTACTTCATTTGGTGTAATTCCCCAGAGCTAAATCCGCAACGTACCGGAAAACGGTGTTTAGCTAGGTTTTCGAAAAGGTCAATTACCTATACAGTATATGAAACCTGATCCACAATTGGTATGTAAATATATTCTTTGTTTAATTTCATTTAAGGTTCAATTGTTTTAAGTAAGGACTAAAGATATTTCTGGCTGACTTGACCACAGTGTGAATTTATAACATAATATAACCATAATTAATATATCCAGGGTTCGAATTTAGCAATATTAACTACTAGCTAAAATTAGCTTGTGCATTTTATACTTACTAGCTAAAATGAAAAGTGACTAGCTGAAATTGAGATCTCAAATTTATTAACATATGATGTACAAATCATATCAAGTTCTTGGGCCATATGGAGTGGTAGATGGCCTCTTCTTTCTCTGACCATTGAGCCACCATCTCCTGACTGCTGGTCTAGGATCAAAGTCTTTGAAGCTGATGTTGGCAACAGAAATTCTCATAAGGGTGTCCATCATATCCACACCAAGGTTACATCGCCAGTCAGTTTTGATGCGTTTCATAGTAGAAAATGCACGTTCACAGGAGGCATTGGATAAGGGATAAACACTTGTTAAATGTATAATCTTCAATATGTCCTTGTAATCTCCCTTATCAGTGTCTTCCTGACTGACCAACTGCCACACTAAAAGTGGGTGCATAACTTGGTACCGAGCAGTGCTAGCCACATGTATCTTTAAGTCATTCCATTGACTGAGAGCATTAACCAAGTCACAATTGGCATTCTGAAGCACAGATGTAAAATGTCTATACACAACTCTCACATCATCAATGCCATAAAGAAGTAGAGCAGCTCTGTCAGTTATAAGTGGCCAATTTTTATGGTCAAAAGCATTACATGATAGATATATGCTATCAGACAGTATGTTGTCAAACCTTGTAGATATGCAGTCTATAACTGACTGAACAATTCTTTGTTTGTCAGTGGTCAGTGCACACGAATCATCAGCTAGCATATTTAATAAAGTATGTCCACGAAACTGGTTGCCCTGAATTTCATGTTTTATTTCTACTAAAGCTGGGCCATCATTGTCAAATAGTTGCCTTAGATTTCCCTCAGCACTCTGTAATTTAGTAACTGCACTGTATACAGTGATATCATCACGCTGAAACAATAAACTGATTTTAGATATTTCATTAAGGACATCTTGCACAAAAGCCATGTACATTATCATTTTATGTTGTTTTAATAGTTTGAGGTACCCTCTTACTTTAGCCCTGTCCTCAGCCTTATTACTCACATCCTCAGCATAGTTTTCCATTTGAAACACTATAATAGGCCAATTTTTCAGAAGCTTAGTTACAGCTTTCAGCTTATGGCTGACCCACCTTGTACCATTAGTCTTTTCTGGCTTGAGGAAATGTTCTCCCAGTAATTCAGCAATATCAGTTGCTTCTTTGTTTCGCTTAGCTGAACCCTTGTAAAACAGATATATTGAAGTAAGCATCTCTATCACAGTGTCCATATAAGTACCTTTGAAAGAGTCTTTTACAGCTAATTCTAACCTATGTGCTAAACACCAAACAGACAAAATCCAATCAGCATTGCCTTCTTCCTTCATTAAACTTATTACACCACGTCGAGACCCCATCATTACATTTGCACCATCTGAACAAAACCCTACTGTCTTCTGTTTGTAATCACGCAAGTCAAATTCAGTAAATGCCTTATTTATAGCCTCCAATATACCTGTTGCTTTTGTGTTTTCTGGCTGTTCTAGCTTTAAGTATTTCATTTTAGGATAATAGTTTTCAAGCACTTTAATCATAATGACCTCTTTTTCAGTTTCTGTTCTGTCAGTTGACCCATCACAGAAAACGCTAAAGTAGTCAGCATCATGCAATAAACTATAAACATTGTCACGATACTCCCCTCCTATTTCAGAAATAAATTTCTTTGCACTTTTATCATTTACATATGTGTCCCCTAAAGAAATACCATTAGCATTTTGCAGTTCAATCAGTCTTTCAAAGTCTGTAAAAGGTTTCTCATATACAGCTACATGGTATGCTGTTTTGAAGAGTAGGCACATTTTGTCTGATGTAGAGGCATCTATTTTCTGAAAACCCTCTTCTACTTTTGATGGCTTATTATTGCTTTTCCTCAATGCAGCTAATTTCGCATCAACAGCTCTAAGGTGTAACACAGACTTCAGGTGAGACTTCAATGACTCTACCTTTATTCTAGTTGTACCAGTCACAAACTGAAAAAAGTAACAAATGGAAACTGTTGTAACACCTTGTGTCAAGATATAAAACATTATGGTAAAATAAAAATGCATACAAATAACATAATCTGTGCAATGCAAATAGTTAGATATTGCTGCTAGTTTTAATAAAAAAAAATTTATCTAATAAGAAGCTTTTATAGAAATGCTATGAGAACATTTCTTTAGGTCAGATCAGGACCAATGGTACCAAAGGTGGTAGTTATAAAATGAAAACAGCCATAAGCTTCTGAAAAAAATGACCTCATAATGGCATGGATCATGTAATGTTGAAATAGAATGTAAATGCTGGTGATAGCCTTCTTAAATAAATGTGGTCTTACCCCTCTAGCCTAGGCAGTTTCTACAACCTAAAAAAATTGGCGATAGCCCTCCCTAGCCTAGGCAGTTTTTATTGCACCCCCCACCCATTCCCGAGACCATATAAAAGATTGGACATTACAAGACAAACAGAATGGACAGAAAGGGACAAGACCATATTTATAACTACATATGATCTTTCCATTCTGGTTAATAAATAGACAGAAAATGTAATTAAATATAAATACCTTAGATACACTGTCTGCAGGTGCAAACATTTTACATGTTTTGCAGGCCATTTGAGTCACGGTTGACGAATCACCCATAACAATATCGAGGTCAACATTAAGTTCTTTTTGCCATTTCTTCACAGTTTTCAAGCTTGCAGTTACTGCCTTCTCAGACGTTTCCTCGATATTTGATTTTGATATTTTAGATGCTATAGAATCTCCATCAGATTTGTCCGCCGGCCGTTTCGACATTAGAAAATTAGTTATAGACTTTTGAGACATTTTGACCTTGTTTATTTCACGTGGTAAAGTCAAGCATAACGGGAATCGGATTTTCCAGTACATGTCTATTTATAAAGACCAATCAGAGACGGTTACAAAATTATCTACCAATCGTAGTCGCGGGTACCGATTGACGTCATTTTATCACGCACATGCCCAAAAAAATGGGCAACCCCCAAAAAAATCGGATTTCCGCAGTTGTATTTACAGCGAAAATGCGCGAGACTATCTTTATTTTGCGGCGTTATAAGTTTTGTTTCAAATTTTACACAAGCATTTATTGAAAAGGAGACTTTTATATATTTGTGTCCGTTTTTTATTCACTCGCTAATATATGCGAGTGACTTTTATTGTTACTCGCTATTCAGAATTTCTACAAGCTATTAGCGTGTTTGCGTGCCTAAATTCGAACCCTGATATCAAACTCCTATATCATGTATACATCAATAAATGTATTATACTTTTGTTATTTACTAATATGTTGTATTTGTTCATTTACAGGGTTTGAGAAATATATATAGTATACTCGATCACAGCCTTTTGTTGCATTGGACCCTTATACTGACTGCTGGCTGGGGCCAGTGTGGTTGGCCATTACTTTTATGTACGTACATGGGCTGGAGCCCACCAGACACATAAATAAATTAGCCAATCAATAGCGTCGTTTTAGGGCACTCTCAATTAAAATGGCCGCTCCTGGGTGAAGTGAAAGTAGGATTGTTTATGAAAAGGAATAGCTGGAAAACAGCTTAAATTTACCAATTTCATAAAGGTTAGAGATTTTTTAAAAAGTTAAAACATTTTATACAATACCAGTGTTCAATCTAGAGCGCGCCATTGCGCCATTGACCCCCTGAAAAGGCCGCCGGCGCAAAACAAAATCAACTGTGGGCCCGACGGGCGCACTCATAGAAAATGCCCTAAATGACATTAAAATGCTTTCTTAAACCTGATTAAGTACATAAAAGAAGTGTCTTGTGAATAATATTAATAAATACTGAATTCAAAACTGAAGTTTGTATTGAAAAACAAGAGCATGTTGGTAAGATAGTTTACCGCACTCGGTAACCCATTTAAAACCTTTATCGCTACGCTCTCTTGGTCCGCGTCTGTAAATACTATGTAGACTTGTTCTTCGTACCGTAACTATTACTTACTTTTGAGTCACAGTTTTTATAAGCAAAACAAATCGTCACAGATAATCCAATACGTGCGTGTAGTTATAGTTTTTTCACGGTCAAAACAAATAAATATGTAATAACTTTCCAAAGGAAAAAAATATATACCGTATATATTTGTGAAAAGTGCGAGTTAATTATAGAGAAGTGTGCATAAATTATTACGAACACGCCTTCATCCAATTAAAAAAGTCTTAAAGATGGAGCAATCAAACACGATTGGCTAGGGAGTGTCTGACAATCGAGTAAATTAACTTTGATTGGTCTTTGGCTGGTCTGCACTAAAACATTGTGCATATCATTAATCAATACAGACATCTTAAGCGTGACGTAAGAACTGCTGCCCTGACAAAAGATCAAAGGTACCGGTATGTCAATATACATTGTCTTAGCACCTGTTGACACTTTGTTTTTCGCTTGGATATATTGAGAAGAGTAAATGTTTTTACCGACTATTGTAAGTTTATATTCTTCATAAACAAAGCTAATTTCAAAATATGATTTTCCTTTATATGTCGGGCGCTGATTAAAAAACTGAACATTATTATCAAATATCCCTGGTAAAAAATTCTGGAAACAAAGTGATCCCTCAGAAGCATTAATCACAACAAAATAACATAAGAATTGCAGACTCGGTTTGATTTGAGTCTGTACATTAAAATAAGATTCATATTTTTCTTTGAACATTATGTCATCGCGCTTCTTTACCAATCAGTTCTTAAAATTGAGCCTGTATCAACGCTAATGTCATTTTTTTAGTTGAGTTGTTTTGAAATTTTGCAACCGTTTTTGGTCTAAATATGGTACGTGAACAAGTAACTTAAAAGATACAATACCTTATTTGAATTTGATGTTCATTTTAAGTGTGGGCCCCCTTTTTTCTCAAATGACCCCCTTTTGAAAAGTTTATGGGCCCGAAGGGCCCCCTGGGAATTTGTTCTAGATTGAACACTGCAATACAATCACATCGTTTTTATAGACGCATACAAAACAATCCTTAAGGGTGTCGAAACTGGTCACTCGAGGATATGATGGTTTTATAAAATAGTTTTCTTGCCACAAATACATTCATTATTTACCAAATTAATAGAGAATAACATGCTACTGTCTTTTGATATCATTTTTATCAGGCGAGGCTGATATGGGCTAGAAAGGGCGAGGCTTGTCGAGCCCTTTCTGTCCATATCAGCCGAGCCTGATAAAATTGATATCAAAAGACAGTAGCATGTTTTTCTATTTATCATGTAACACATAATAACTGTCAAAATAACAAAATAATCAACTTTTAAATAGCGAATTTCGTAAAAAGGGAGATTTTTGTTCAAAGAAATAATTCTTGAAAACAAATTCTTCCGCCCCTGAAACTTAGAATTTGTAGATGGCGGCCATTTTTTCTTTCCACTCGGATAAAAGATACAACAGAATGTAGGCCTAATACGATAAAATTCTTACCTTTAATTTAAACATCGATCCAAAAATCCACTAAGAATCACATAAACTTAACTTTACTGCAATTTTTGTCTTGAATTGTCAAATTCAAAAGTTCATGATAATTTCAATCAAAGAAAAGTCAAATAGGCAATCAAACACAAGCTACACAAACATGCGTCTTATTTTTCAAACGAAACAATGCGTTCATTTATGAAATAATAATCCGGCGAAATAAAGTAAACATTTACAAGTTCTCAAAGAAATTGTTATGATTACATGTATAATATGACGTGAACATCGATGATGTCATTTGCAATACAAATTATGACGTCACTTCATTTAGTTGGTGCTAAAACTATTCGCTATCTAATTTATTCGTAATTGAAATCGAAATAATAAATAAAAAATATCACATCTTGATTCAAGAATTGTAAGGGTATGAGATTACATTGTAGAATTCTCATGCTGATGAAAATGAGAATTTATATAAGCAATTGAAAAAAAGTCTGTTAAAATGGGCGGGGCTTATTTTTGATATCAGGTTACTGACCTGATATCAAAAATAATTATCAGGCAAGTGTTATCAGGCAGAAAATTTAAATACCCTGATATCATAGAACCCTTGATATTAAAGCCCCCACGATTACACATTTAAACGGATTCGTTTCGATTTTCATTCATAAACGTTAACGATATTGTTTACCGTTTAATCCAAATGACCATATTGTCTTACAAGATTTCTTAATCATTGCCTATAGCCTAATCATGGACTTTATCAATTCTAGTGGTTTATTCCAAAGTAAACAAACGGAAAATGGGTGTAAGTTTCGGTGATGAATTTTAAGGCGAAGATACGTTTTTTGTTCTTTTTTGTTGCTGTGTAGTTGGAAATAACGTATAGAAATAAGAAAAGAAAAATTATAATTGTAATGACATTGACAGATTTATATCATAGGCACTTGGTTTCGGGATAAAAAGCCTTTTAGAGGTTTGTAGAACTCAAATTTGATTGAATGTAACGATTTTTTTAACGTAGATGTCTCTTTCCTAAAACCGTCATTTTTCCGATATTACTAAAAAAACACAAGGTAGCTCAGTCGCCATTTTTATCCGCAACGGAAGTGGTGTATAATTTACCGTACACGTACCGTTCCGAATCTGGTTCCCGCGAATCGTATAGGCAACTGCTTTGAAACCGGGCACCGGCACTGTTTGCCTGGTGACATAAAGTGGCGCTAATTTTGAATTGCAATAAAGGCGATATTTTTTAGCAACAGAGGCTGTATCCATATAAACTGTAAGGATGGACTTGGAAAAATGGTAACTTTATTACTACAACTTGATGTAACAGTCATAAAATTACCGATCTAGGTATATATTTACATATTAAAGGAACTCCACTGAGGTCCAAAAAGCAATAAAACATAGAACATGCTACTTTATTACACCGATCAAGTTTGGCACTAAAAGAGAAAGATTTACAATAGATAATTCAGGAATATGCTTAGAAATAAACTGAAAATCGTTTTGCTATTCCTAGCCCATTTTATGTGAAAAGTGTTGCAACCCTTTTCATTTTTTTTTATTAACTTTCATAACATAATTATTCTGCTAAAACAGAGGAAATGAATGAACTGAAATTTTCCACAACCTTAAAAGTCAAAACTTAAATCAAATGGAACATAAATGGCAAAAAAAAATCTCAAAAAACACCAGTGGAGTCCCTTTAATGATACTTAGCAGGAATGAAGACTGACTTTGAGGCATATTTATAGTAACATGAAGAAGCTAAACCCATCTCGATTGTCATTTGTTGTGGCAGGTATTATGAAATTATTAAAAAGCAGGAGAAATAGAATTTTTTAATAAATATTCATATTAATTATAGCTCTTATTGAATAATTTTTCAACCAAACTTTGCATGGGGATTGAAACAAAGACCTAACTTGGCAATGAAAAGGGAACTCTTATAAAAATAAGATAAAATTCATAAATTGACAGCAAGTTGAAGCTGTAATATGAAAGCTTACTTTTTTACCTCGACTATTGAGAGCTATCCTTACCTCCTGAGCATTGGCATATTAACCACTCATGTTAAAGTTTTTGTACCACCTCAAGTCCACTGACATATAACACTGAACCTTTGCAAAGTCCATTGACATATGGGTTTGAAACTATGCACCCTTGTTCACCACCTTGCCCAAAACATATACACATGGAGGAGGTAACAAGCATTGTGACAGAATTATGCTCCTTTATCAATGTTTTTAATGAATAGAATGTTCTTCTAAAAAAAGTTGTTAATTTCATCATTATCCAGGTTGTTGGTATACTATCAAGTACTGAGAATAGTCAAGTGTGCTTGTCCATTTGATAGCTCTTGTTTTATTATTTTGTCGAAGTGTATACATAAACTCAATAATTTTAAATTAAAAATATATTTTCAAGTCTATATTGAGGCAAAACACCTTTAAAAATATTCTTTCTTTCATGTGCACAAATAAACACAACATTGTGAAGGGCAGACTATTTATTTACTAAAATTTATATATTTGACTGAGCAAAAATCCTTAGTATGTTCTATCTGGGATTTAAGTTATCTTAAGCCCAGGTTCTATGTACAAATTATGTATAATCAGCATAAAAACACAATGTTGTAAATTTCAATCCAAGTTAATTGGATCTCAAGATTAAAGTAATAGAATAGATGTATTCTTAAAATATGAAATCAAGTAAACTTTGTGTTTTAATTTGAAATTTCAGATAAGTCTTTCCAAGTGAATCAGCAAATAAGAAAACAAATTTACATCTAACAATGAAATAATTAAATTGTCTTCTATAAACTGTTTTTTTTATTTTCTAAATAGAAAACTACTTAATATTTATAAAATGCTGCCACTAACTAGCATTTTATAGTGATTGATAAGGCAGCCTTTATTTACCCATAATGATATGATTTTATTCTTATTCACACTAATGTGCTGAAATTTAAGAATTATAGGCATTTCCTAAATTCACATGTATTAATATAGTACATCAATTTCCTGACTAATATATCACCAATTAAATTCATGATGAAGTCAGTTTTATTTTATGAAAATGACAATGTTGTTTTGATATTCTACATATAAATAGTGAATTTTTATATTGGTTGAAATTTAAAATGTTGCCTTTAACAATGAAACAAGTAATTGGTTATAGGTGTACACTGTATTATTTTCTTCTTGCAAACTAACATATACACCATGAATTATATACATATATAGTGTATATACAGATTCTGTGGATATAATTTTATACTATCAGTTATGATAACAACAAATATTCTCCAGCACACTTTTATGTGTTTCCATTCATCAGTATCAAAAATAAAACTTCATTTGATATGACTTCAGGTTGTTTTTTTTTTAATTAACAGAAATAACAAAAATGCAATGAATTTCAAATCATAGCATAATGATATAAAATTACATATGTATGTGTCTTTAATAAAAGTATCTTTGGCAACATATAAACTACTCAAGGTCATTTCCTCTATGCAATCCAAGTAAGATCCCTTTTAAACCCATAAGTACAACAAAATTTGGCAGATAATTTTGTAAATTTTATAATTGAATATTTTCATAGTTTGCTTATAGATTTAACAGCATCATTTGCAATATTCTAGACATTTATGATGTAATTTAAAATAAGTATAAAATCTGTAATATCTTAACCAAAGGGAATAATAGACACATATTTTTCAAATAGTTTTGAACAATTTTTACAACAAAGCCATTTATTTTTGTAGGTTAAAAGATCATATATTTCAAAGTGAAAATGGTCAAGTGTATCTGTCAGAAATAGAAAAAAAGCTTAGAGGACAGTTCAGTACACAAGAAATTGGCAGGGCTATGAGAAAAGTGTTTAAAGGAACTATTATTAAATCTGTGAGAAATAAAGAATTCTGGGCTAAAATTACCAAGTTATACATGGGTGTTGAGTGGAAAGGGAATGAAAACTTCCAAGAATCGAGGAATCAAGAAACTATGTCAGTTGAAAAAAGCATCACATACTCAAAACAAAGTGAATCTGTACCTGAAACAGAAAATTATGACAGCTCCCTGCAACAAGAATGTATTCAAGATATACAGCTAACTATGTCAGACCATGAAAATATGAAACAAATATTAAATTCAGTCAACACTTTTGAAAATTCAGCAGAAATCTTTAAAAAAATTAACTTGACAAACAAGGAAAGTATTCTCCTTAAATCACAAATGAGAAATATGCAAGGTGATCCTCATAGCAGACGGTGGAACCCCGAAGTCATCAGACTTTGTTTATCCATTTATTCTCGGTCTCCTAAAAATTATGAATTCATCTCAAAAAGTGGATTTTTAATTCTGCCATCTTCTTCACATATTAGGAGATATAAGAATAAAGTTGATCAGAAGTCTGGCATTAATAAAGATGTGTTTTCCTGGATGAAAAGTGAAGCTTCTTTTCTTAACCTACCTAAAGAGGGATATGAAGGGGGACTATTAATTGATGAGATGTCCATTCAAGCTGATTTACAGTTAAAAAAGATTGGGCAAGAGTATAAGTTAATTGGCTTCACAGATGTTTGTACTGAATCAAATTATATGAGTAAACTTAGTGGCAAACATGATTTAAAACTTGCCACACATGTTCTTCAATTTCTTTTTATTGGTCAAACTGGTTTCAGATTTCCAGTTGCACATTTCCCCACATTGCAAGCCAGTCCAAGTGAGCTATATCTTTCATTCTGGAGAATAGTGCAAATGTTAGCTCTGTATGGCTTTATTGTGACATATATCAGTATTGATGGTGCCCAGTCCAATAGGAGTTTCATGAAAATGTTTCTACCTGATGACCAAAATAAATCTGTTAATATGGAAACAATGTCATTTGAAAACATATTTGATCCTACTTTACCTAAAATAAGCATAATTATGGACTATTCTCATTTAATAAAAAAAGTAAGAAATAACATTTTAAAAAGTGGACACATGCATTATTATAAAAAACATCTAATGTTTAAAGATAAATACATAATTTGGGACCACTGGCTCAAAGCTTATCAGTGGGATGTATCTTCAAATACATTAAAAATTCACCCATCTCTAAATGAAGAACATTTTCATTTAAATTCTCAACTTAAAATGAGAAATCATTTGGCTGAAAATGTTTTAAATAAAGACATGCTTCATTTGATGGAATTGTACAAGGAATCACTGGGTGAAAAAGGACAGGACCTTGATAGTAGTATTGAAATGTTACAAAATACTTCAGCATTAGTTGAGATTTTTAGAGATAGACGCCCTATTAAAACCTATGAAGACTCCAGGCTTACACATTTAAGAAATGTCCTTTTATGGTTTAGAACCTGGGAAAAAGAAATAATCTTTTCAAACATTGAAAACAAAGATAAATGTTTACTGTCAATGCAAACAAGAGAGGACATTATTTCTTGTATAAAAGGTTTTGATAGCATGTGTTTTGAAAAATTTAAGAGGTCTTGTGGATCAGTTATACCTGCCAGAATAAACAGTGATGCCATTGAAAATATTTTCTCACAACAGAGAGGCATTCACAATGGGTCAAATTCAAATCCAGACTATCTTACATACTGTAGGACTATGAACTCTATTATATTAGGAGAGAGTTCTGTGTCCAAGAAATCTAATGCAGCAGAGACTAACCAGGGCGCCATGTTTCACAAACCGAAAAGGCAGGTTCTAGCTTCACTCAGTCAGAATTAAGGTATAGTATTTTTTTCCTTGAAATTCTTTATCAACATATCTATATAATATCTCTTTAAAAATGCATTGCTGTAATCAGATTGTTTGTCTCTTCTGTTCATTTATTTGTCTGTCTCTTGATTTTAAGTTATAAAATGCTCATTTTTTTCATTGTAAATTCAATAGATTAACTGTTACAATGGTGGTTGAATAAAAGTTGATATTGGAAAATGTTTATGATAAGCCACAAAAAACTGCCTAAAATATTTAAAAAAACTGTCCACTTTGAAGGTTATAGGTGAATATTTACAAATATTTCCTTTGGTCAAGTGAATAATTAATAATCTATTCCATGTAAACTATGAAATTGAAAGGAATTATGGCAAAATGTAAACTTATTTTTACGTTTTCTAGATCTACTTACATACCCTGGGTATAATGTCACTTTAAGCAAATCAATATTCATAAGGGGACTGTAAGCCTTTGGAATGTAGGCCATAAAAGGGCAGTTTTTAAAGACCCATGTTCTTAACTTTTGAACAGCTGCAAAAAAACTCCAAAATCCCTAAAGACCTAAAAAAGATAGTTACATAAACAAAAATAAAATAAATAAATAATATATCAATGAATAAACTTATTTTAATAACCTCATTTTTCTATATATATAGTTATACAGAGAGTGTATATTAATGTGTAACAATAAAATACCTAAAGAATATTAAACTGTAACTTTAAATGAAACAGTTTTATAAAAATCTTCTTAATCAGTATGTAATTAATTCAATTTTTGTTTGTTTACATAATTATCTTTTTATCTATTTGTTATTTATTATAACATATTAATATACATGAATAATTTATGGATCATACATTAATTAATTGACAAAATAAAGGTTTTACTGTCCTTTTATTTTATTTTTGAAATTGTGGCTCACATTGCTTTCTAATGAGTTAATCTGTCAGCCAGATAGCCAACAAATAGGTCAACAGACAGTCAGTTTTGTATTCATAATATATTTATAAAATATGAACTTCAGCAATTTTCTGAATTAACTTTCAGAAAAAAAAAAGACTTACATTTGTGATTTATAATTTTGTCTCCTACTGACACATAGGGCAAATATAAATGGCATCATCAGTGGAAAAATAATTCCATTCACTATCATCATCTAGTCCAGTGCAGCCTCTATGATACCAAATATTACAGAAATTACAACATATCATGTCCTCATCTGTTCCTTGTACTTTTAAACAAATCCCACATGCATCACTATAGTCATCTATATTAGACTGCTTATTTTTATATTTTTGTTTATTTTTACATTTTTCATTTGACTTTTCTTTGTTAATATTTGTCTCACCTACTTCCATGGAAGGAAGCTCATAGGAGCATTCAGCTTCTGTTTGTTTTCCCTTACTTGCTTGACCTGAAGAAGATCTTGTGTAATATTGTCTCTCTACTTCCATGTTCTGATCTAATGTGCTTGTTTTAATTGACCTTCCATCATTAATATCATGAGTACTTGATTTTTTAGTTGCTTTCCTTTTCCCCAAAAGTTGCTTTCCTTTTCCAGACTCTTTACTTACATTTATCTTGCTAGAGCAGCCTGTAACACTATTTGGCTCATTATTTTCAAAAATGGAGACATCAACCATTTTCACACAACTATCTTTTTTCAAAACATGCAAAAGAGTTTCTCCCAATTCCTTTTTAGTGCTTTTTACTTCTTTTCTTCAATTTAATATGCCTTTTAAGAGCCATTAAATCCTTTTTTTAAGGTTTGTATTTTTAAAAAAATCTTTTTGGGGGGAGCCATTGGGCTTTTAATTTTGTGATTGGGGGAATTTTTTTCTTTTTGGGACTCAATTTTCATTTTTAAAATAAAATTAAATGTTATACCCTTTTATCATTTTCTTTCCCTTTAAAATTTTAAAACAACCCTTTTTTCTCCAAAGCCTTTCCTTTTTTTTGTATTAAAATTTTTAAAAAATTTTTCAAAAAGGGAAAAAGAATGTTTAACAAACAACTTAAAAATTTTTTTAAAAAATTTAAGACAGGTGTGGAAAATTTGCCCAAAATTCACAAATATAAATTTTAATGAAATTTTTCAACAGATTAAATTTTTGGGTGTAGCTACTTTAAACCCTTTAACTTCTCTTTGGGTTTTTAAAATAATGCCTTTTGTTATCCAAAAAATTTCTAAATTTTTTCTTTCTGCTAAAAGTGACTCCAAAACATATTTAAAGAATTGTTTGCTTTGTTCCATTAAGGTTTTATATGTCATAATATGTGTTATTTCTTTCTGCAGATAAAGAAAAAATTCAAACACATCATCACTTATATTGGTCAATCCTTCTCTCATATTTTGTTTCCTAATAGTTTCTTGTAATGTGTTCTGGTATTTTGTTGTGGCCATGATATCAGAAGCAGTAAGAATCATACCATCTAATAATTCAATTTGCTGATTTATGATTTTTATTTCTGTTTCCATTCCAGGGACAAAAAGATAGTTTCTCATTGTTGAGCAAAGATTGTGCCTTGTTTTCGCAATGCAGTATGCACCGACATACCGTACTTTGCCACTTCCAGCAGAAGTGTCTGTAGAACCAGTTTCAGGAAAAACATTTTGTACATCATATTGTTGTTCATTTCTACCTGACCTCTCTTTAAGAACTTTTGTCTGAATATTTATCATAACGGAAGTAAGTATTTGAACTTGAAAATGGAATTGAATTAAATACTTTACACTGATTTTTTTGTACTCATTTGAAGAAATATATCTCTGAAATTTTGTATAGAATGCAGTATAGTGTTTTTCTTTCATATTTCCCAGGATAATGTATCACAAGTTTCATCAAATATCTGGTTTACCTTATTATATTGTGCTTGAATACCATTTAATGGTGGATTCTTTATGTTTTGTTATATTCTCTGTAGCTACTTTTGCTACATTCTCTTCAGATGTTTCTGAAAAAGTATCTAAAATAACTGAAAAAGCATGCAGGACATCAGACTCTTTTTTTGTTTTTTGAAGTAATGCAGAGTAAGTATGATCACTTGCCTGGTGATGGATTGTCGGGAATTGAGTCAAATCAAGTACTTGGTATTGAAGATGCATATGTGTGGTCAAGAAAATAAATTCATTGGCTCACATTCTTTTTCAAATAATGTAATTTCATTTTAGAATGCCTTCAAAAAAATCATCATCTGAATTCTGATGTAATGGTTTTGTCATCTACTGATGCACCAGATAAACAAATTTTACTACGGCAAACAAGATAGGTCATTGGTAATATCAAGCAAGAACTTACAAATGTCTTATAGAATTTTTATTTGACCTGTTCTGGGTGTTTGTTTTACATAGAGAAGGGTTATAAGTTATTACACGGAGGCCTTCTAATGATAGAGCTCTCCCTACTGCAACTCCGATTTGGCCTGGATTTGTTGCATTTTTACAATCAATTTCCAATTGCTTTTAAACCCATACCCTGAGATTTTGTGGGGGAAGTTTGGAATTGCCCCCGGTTTAGAGGGAATTTAAAGCCTTTTTGGGTAAGCTCCTTACTTAGTCCAACAAGAAACCCTTGAAAAATTTTTCACTTTTAAAATTTTTTGAGAAGGAATAACAGGTGCTTCTTGTTTTAAAACCCAAACTTTTTGGTGCAATAAAATTTGTTAAAGGGAGAAGCGTCGCCACTAATTTCAGCAAAAGAAAATTTTCAGTGAATTAAATTTAAAAATCTGAAAATTGTTTCAAAAATTTTAAACATACAAATCTAAAATTTGGGGGCATAAAAAAACCTTTATGGGGTTTTTCCAAGCTCCTTAAATTTTGTGGCCTTGATAGAAAGTTCATCAACTCATTAGTTTTTTTGGGAGGTTTACCCCTTTTTAACCATTTATACATAAAAGAAAAGTTTTTCGTCCGCTGTCCTATGAAATTTCAGGTTTAAAATTAAAAAATTTTGGGGAAAAATTTTTTTTAAAAAAAAAAAGGGATCAAAAAAATAATGCCCGGAATTTTCCCTAAAGCTATTTTAAAATTGGGGGAAAATTTGGTAAAACACCACTTAAGATTTGCCCGAATTTCCCCAAAAATATGTATTCCCTTCCTGCCTCAATGATCTGCAAAGAAATTCAACACTTTCAATTACTTTACGGCTTACCATAGAAACCTCGTCCACTATTAAAACGTCAGTGTTTAATATTTTTTCTTTTGTAGAGTTAAATCTTTCATCTGTACGAACTAAATGAAGTAGTTCTTCTTTGCTATGCCGCCCATCTTCTAGCCCGGCAAATTTGTGCAATGTCGTTGCACCTAGACCTTGATATTGAACACAAGCAATACCTGTGAAACAGGTCAACGCGACATTTTTACCAGATGACCTCAGTTTTCTTGCACACTCTCTAATAGTATATGTTTTACCCGTCCCTGCCTGACCTACCAACACTATATTATGTCCGCTCAGAACTGAATCTACGCAAAACTGTTGTTTTGCATCCATTTTATTACCACTCTTGTAAAGAACAATAATAAATAAACATGAATCAGAATTTGTATTTATGGCGCCACTATATGTTTATAGTACCGTTGCCCGGTTTCTAGGCAGTTGTCAATACGATTTGCGGGTACCAGATTCGGAACGGTACGTGTACGGTAAATTATACATCACTTCCGTTGCGGATAAAAATGGCGACTGAGCTACCTTGTGTTTTTTTAGTAATATCGGAAAAATGACGGTTTTGGAAAAGAGACATCTACGTTAAAAAAATTGTAACATTCAATTATATTTGAGTTCTACAAACCTCTCAAAAGGGGTTTTTTTTTCCCCAAAACCCAAATGTATGTTTTATTAAAGTGTTTTTATATGTTTTGTGAATTCTTATGGGAAATAAATTTTCAGAAAAAAGTTTTGGCGAAACTTTATGCTTTTTTTTTGGGGAGTCCAATCAATCGCACGAGGGTGTATTACAACTGGACATGAAAGCCACGAAAAAATGAGAACACCCCAAAAAAATGAGAAAAAGGGATCTGTATTAAAAATAGAAAAGAAAGGAAAAAATTTGGCGACTCAAAATATATGGTGTGTAAAAGTAATAGAGGTACCAAACCCTTTAAAAAAGTAAACGTTTCGGTTTTTAGAGTCGTGTTAAAAGTTTACAAAAAAATTTTAAACGTGGGAGGGCCTTTGGGGGTTTCTTGATATCAAAAGGAAAACCGAAATATACCTACGCCCCCGCGGGGGGTTTCGGGCCCCCTCGGAAAGGGCCTTTAAACTTTTAATCGGAGGTAAAAAAAAACCCATAAAATTAAACCGACCATTACCTTAGGTGACTTGTTCAACAACGGAACAAACTCTTTGCAATTTCGTTTGATGTAATCAACAACTACTGGCAGTAACGTGCTCTTCTCATCAGAATCTGCCATTTTTTAATGTCGCAACGTGCCGGAAGTTGCCGTTTACCTTTTTCAAACGCATGCGCCAAAAGGACTTTTAATACCAAGCGGAGCACATTGGCTATTATCCGAGGGCCGAGAAGATGCAAAAGCTTTTTTCACGAAACAATATTTAATTAAACGAACTTTGTATAAGCTTAACAAAAAATTGATTGTAAATTGACAACAATACAATTATACCCTAGAATAGAATAAAATGGAATAACATTTATTTCCAATCAAGGGTCATGTTAAAGGGTGAGAGTGGTTTCGTCGAACCGAACTACAGGTTCGGCAAACTGATCTTATATAATAAAACAGGTTGTGGTTTCGGCGAACTTAATTTATATACTGCAAAAAATATCTATTGTATTATATGAGAACGTCAATTATCGCGAGTCGTAATGTGTGGTTTATCACATATTTTCATGTATTTAAATACAAGATATTGAAAATTTAAACCTATTATTTATAATTTTCTTCAGTATAATAGAATTCTATCATTTCACGTGATTTTGTCTCTATAGACTGTAAATAGGATGGGTATTTACGGTAATCTAAGTTAACAGTTAATCTATAAGTTATGAGTTACTATCTTTCTTACTTATTGCATGGTATATTTGATTATATATATATCTTAGTGAAAGTGTATATTGTATTCATGATTAAAACAGCACCTTTTTAGCTCACCTGTCACAAAGTGACAGGATGAGCTTTTGTGATCGCTTTTCGTCCGGCGTCCGTCCGGCCGTCCGTAAACCTTTACTTTAAATGACATCTCCTCATAAACCACTGAGCAAATTTCATCCAAACTTCACAGGAATGTTCCTTTGGTGGTCACCTTTAAAAAATGTTCAAAGAATTTAATTCCATGCAGAACTCTGGTTGCCATGACAACCGATAGAAAAAAACTTAAAATATCTTCTTTTAAAAACCCAAAGAGGTCTACCTCTATATATTTTAAGCTCTAGCTTAGATATATGGCATAAAACATCTTCTAGTGAGTGTCTATCAAGTTTGTTCAAATAAAAGCTCTGGGGTCAAAATTGGCCCCGCCCCGGGGGTCATTGATTTTTCCCTATATGCATATAGTAAAAACTTAAAAAAATCTTCTTTTAAAGAACCCAAAGAGCTAGAGCTAAGATATTTAGCATGAAACATCTTCTAATAGGTGTCTACCAAGTTTGTTCAAATAAAAGCCCTGGGGTCAAAATTGGCCCCGCCCCAAGTTGTCATTGATTCTACCCTATATGCATATAGTAAAAACTTATAAATTTTCTTTTAAAGAACCCAAAGAGCTAAAGCTAATATATTTAGCATGAAACATGTTCAAATGAGTGTCTACCAAGTTTTTTCAAATAAAAGCCCTAGGGTCAAAATTGGCCCCGCCCCGGGGGTCATTGATTTTCCCTATATGCATATAGTAAAAACTTATAAATTTTCTTTTAAAGAACCCAAAGAGCTAGAGCTAAAATATTTAGCATGAAACATCTTCTAATAGGTGTCTATCAAGTTTGTTCAAATAAAAGCCCTGGGGTCAAAATTGGCCCCGCCCAAGGGGGTCATTGATTTTCCCTATATGCATATAGTAAAAACTTATAAAATCTTCTTTTAAAGATCCTAAAGAGCTAGAGCTAAGATATTTAGCATGAACCATGTTCTAATGGGTGTCTACCAAATTTGTTCAAATAAGAGCCCTGGGGTCAAAATTTGCCCAGCTCCGGGGGTCATTGATTTTCCATATATGTGTAAAGCAAAAACTTTAAATTAAAAATTCTTTGAAAAAAACCAAATAGCTAGAGTTTAGATACTAAGCATGAAACATCTTCTAGTGAGCGTCTACAAAGTTTTTTTTTTAAAAAAAGCCCTTGGGTCAAAATTGGCCCTGCCCCGGGGGTCATTGATTTTATTTATGTGTAAAGCAAAAACTTATAAAATCTTCTTTGAAAAGACCCAAATAGCTAGTTTTAAGATATTTAGCATGAAACATCTTCCAGTTAGTGTCTTCAAAGTTTGTTCAAATAAAGCCCTAGGGTCAAAATCGCCCTGCCCCGGGGGACATTGATTTTCCTTATATGTGTATAGCAAAAACTTAAAAATCTTCTTAAAAAAAAACAGAATAGCTAGAGTTTAGATATCAAGCATGAAACATCTTCTAGTGAGTGTCTCCAAAGTTTGTTCAAATAAAAGCCCTGGGGTCAAAACTGGCCCCGCCCTAGGGGTGTCATTGCTTTTAACTATATGTGTATAGTTAAAACTTAAAAAGAATTTTTAAAAAAAACTCAACGAGCTAGTCCTTAGAGGTTTAGCGTGAAATATCTTCTGATGGGTGTCTACCAAGTTTGTTCAAATAAAAGCCCTGGGGTTTAAACTAGCCTCGCCCTGGGGGCCTATATACAGGTGAGCGACTTCAGGGCTATCATGGCCCTCTTGTTTAGCGTAAAACATTAATTTTTAGTATAATTGGGCAATATTTGGGTATATTTAGGCAATATTTGGGTATATTTGGGTATTTCGTGCTGCCCTTATAGTTTGTCGGTCATTTTTGTCTGACGTCAAATAGTTATTGCTCATATCCGATACAAAATACGAGGTAAACATCCGGTGTAACGTTGTAAAGTGACCCCCATAGAA